ATAGGATAATTTAGTCGTTTTTTTTTTTTTTTTTTTCTCTCTCTCTGTATGTATGTGTATATGTGTATGTGCGTGCAGTTGTGTTTTTTGTAAGAACAAAAAAAAAAAAGAGTGAATTTTTTTTTTATTATCCTTGAATGATTTTTTTCTTTTTCTTTTTTTTTTTGCGTTTACTGAGTAAAGGTGAGGTAAAAAGGGGAGTATAATAAATAATAGGAACCAATCGCCAATGCGCATCAGTTCTTGTGGACAGATGCGTCATTCGCTGGTGTACCGTCAAACCGCGGTTTCAATGCCAACAACTCGATTAAATCCATCTCCTGATCATTATACCACGTGGGGTAAAGCAATCTTAGCAGAGAATAATAGACGTGTTGGACCTGAACACATGTTTCGCACGGCTATTCGAGCCCAACAACAATTACAAGGTTTAGCGGATAAATGGACTCCGGATGCGAAAGTGTATTGCTGCGGTTCTATGGTAACATATGGACAAATGGAGTGGGGAAGTGATTTAGATCTTGCTTGCATGTTTGATGATCCATACCCTTCACATGAGGTGCAGGCAAAACGAACAGACAAATTATGGACAGTGATGAAGCGTTATGTACCACATTACCTTCGAAATAATCTTCTTGGCCTTACAGAAGCACGTACTCCTGTTGTAAAATTACGATTTGCAAATGATGAAAAGGTGGCAAGAGCACGTTATACACCACTAAGTGAAGAAGAAGATCGAAAAGCTCGAACCGCTCTCCTTGATGTACGAAATCAATGTATTGATGATCGTGAAATAGAATATATTGCAGAAAAAATGGGACGAGAAAATGTAGAAGGTATTTGGGTAGATCGTACAACTTATGGTTGTCGTATTGCAATTCAATGTACTTCAAAAGAACAAATGATTGAGGCTATTGGTTTTTTTCCAGATGGAAAAATTATGACACGTGGTATGCGTGAAGATTATACTCGTGATGTACTTGATCCAAGATTTGTTCCTGAAATGTTTATGTATCGTTGGGATATTTCTTTTGTAGGTTATGGAGTTAAAAATAGTTATCTTATTCGACATTATCTTCATAATGGTCCAAGTGCGGCAAGACATGCTGCTATGGCTGCTAAAGCATGGGGAAAAGCTACAAATGTTGGAGCTGGATCTGCAGCTATGCTTACATCCTACGCCGTTACTATTATGTTTCTTTATTATTTATTAGTTACACGTCAAGTGAAATGGATTGATCCATGGTCACTTCCACATCCAGCTCATTTACCTCGATATCCTGATTTTTCTCCCTTACATGATTGTGACCCTGTAGAGTTAGGACGTTTACTACATGGGTTTTTCATTTTTTACGCTCATCACTTTGATTACGAGAAGGAAGTAGTGAGTTTAAGTCGAAATAGAAGGAGTCGACGATCTGATATTGGATGGAATTTTCCACAGAATAAAAAAGGAACTTTCAGCTATTATTTTTGTATTGAGGACCCTTACGAAGATGTTGGAACTGGTGGATTAAACCTTGGTAGACATTTGCATCCTGCAAAGTTTCAACTTGTAAAACAAGAATTTCTTCGGGCAGCTCAATGTATGGAACGTTTCTCTCCAGTAACAGCACCTGAGAAGTCTGTTCTTGGTGTTAGACGTGCTGAATTGCGACATTTTGAGCGGGATAGAGATCGAGATAGAGACTAATAAGCTCATAATGG